TAAGCAGCTAATGTTTCATCTCACACGGCTGGTGCCAGGTGTCCCCTCCCCCTACATGCCCTGCTTCTCTGTCTTCTGTGCTCCACAAGCCCTGCTTCTCTGTCTTCTGTGCTCCACAAGCCCCGTGCTGGGAACGTCGGGTGGTGACAAAACAATAGCACCCGGTGCTGCCTGTCCGCAGGCTGGATGGGACTTAGGGGACAGCGTCAGCGGTCGGCCGCCACCGTGAGCACACGGGTCCTGATGAACCCGTGTCCTTCACAGCCAGGCCCAGGGTTACTGCTCTGGAATCCACGAACAGGGTGCGGAGGTTTGCTGGGGCCTCAGCTCTTGGCCTAACAGCGGCACATGAAGGCCAACTAGGAAGCAGCTGGAAGCCGGGAGAAGGTCACATGAGAGCCACCTGGGTGCCACACTAGGGACTGAGCCCACAACCCAGGCATGGGCCCTGACCGGGAATCAAACCCTGACCCCCTGGCTCATAGGTCAACACTTAACCACTGAGCCACACCGGCAGGGCCACCCAATTTTTTTAAATGGGCAAAGGACTTGAATAGAATTTTCTTCAAAGACAATACACAAATAGCCCATGAAAAGATGTTCAACATCACCAGCCATTAGGGAAATTCAATCCAAAACACAACGAGGTTCCCAACCATGATGAGACTGGCTCCTACCAAAAACACGGGCACTCACAGGAGTTGGCGAGGGTGTGGGGAAATGATGCAAATGGAAATGTTGCAGCCACTGTGGAAAACAGCTTGGCAGTTCCTCAAAAAGCTAAACATAGAATTACTGTATGTTCCAGCAATTCCACAAAAGAACGGAAAACAGGTATTCACACGGAAACTTGTACATGAATGCTTCCAGCAGCACTCCGACCAGACGGGGTCTGGGCCCGGAGAGGGACTGCCCAGACCCACTGGTAGCATGTGGGTTCTTGATTTCGTGCAGGACAGATTTCACAACACAACTGCAGGTGTATGATAGATAGATGATAGATAGATAGATAGATAGATAGATAGATAGATAGATAGATAGATAGATATCTAAGGGCACACACATTAGGGGGACAGGGTCTTCTTCCTGAGGCCGCGGGAAGTGACCGGCTGCCCTAGGAGGGACCACAGCGCCTGGGCCAGGGCGTGGAGGTCGCTGGCAGAGGCAGGGCACTGTTATGGATTGAATTGTGTTCCCCCAAAATTCGTATGTTGGGGTTGGAAAACAGGTATTCACACGGAAACTTGTACAGGAATGCTTCCAGCAGCACTCTGACCAGACGGGGTCTGGGCCCAGAGAGGGACTGCCCGGGCCACTGGTAGCATGTGGGTTCTTGATTTCGTGCAGGACAGATTTCACAACACAACTGCAGGTGTATGATAGATAGATGATAGATAGATAGATAGATAGATAGATAGATAGATAGATAGATAGATAGATAGATATCTAAGGGCACACACATTAGGGGGACAGGGTCTTCTTCCTGAGGCCGCGGGAAGTGACCGGCTGCCCTAGGAGGGACCACAGCGCCTGGGCCAGGGCGTGGAGGTCGCTGGCAGAGGCAGGGCACTGTTATGGATTGAATTGTGTTCCCCCAAAATTCGTATGTTGGGGTCCTAATCCCCAGTACCTGTGCACGTGGCCTTATATAGAAATCGGGTCTTTTATTTATTTTAATCCTCACCCAAGGATATTTTTGAGAGTATGTTTATTAAAGCTGGGGACAGTGGAGTCCAGGTGGTTTTGAGAGTATGTTTTATTAAAGCTGGGGACAGTGAAACAAAGGAAGGGCTTCAGATAAGAGAAGCAGCAGGGGAGAGTCAGAGAAGAAGGGGCCCTGGAGACAGGCTCAGGGGGTGAGGCTGGGATGAGCTGCCACTGCCCGAGGCTCCCCTGGCTGCAGGTCTCAGGGAGACCGTAGAGAAAGAGCAGAGATACCAGGGTGGGTGTGCTCTAGCAAGACCGCCCCCTATGTCCTTTGTCTTGAGGTTTTTATCTTTCCTTGGCCAGTGGGAATCCTAGGGGGGTCTTAACAGCATTCGATTGCTTTTAAAGTGTGTCCTTCATTATGTTGATTCATCAAAATGTGCGCACAGAGAGGTCAGGGGTTACTTTCTGGTTAGTTTCGTTTTTAAAGAACATCATCAAGAATATCACTGAAGAGGGACCAGGACGGAGGCTGCTCTGTCCCAGGATGGTCTGGAGCAGGGGTCCTCAAACTTTTTAAACAGGGGGCCAGTTCACTGTCCCTCAGACCGTTGGAGGGCCGGACTATAGCTTAAAAAAAACCTATGAACAAATTCCTATGCACACTGCACATATCTTATTTTGAAGTAAAAACACAAAACGGGAACAAATACAATATTTGTATTTGCATGTGGCCCACGGGCCGTAGTTTGAGGTCCCCTGGTCTGGAGTGTGCAAACCATCTGCTCCTGAGTGTCCTTGCCTAGGGAAGATAAAGCCCTGGGTGCATTAGCTGCTGTAAGTTGCTCAGATTGCTTGGCCTTGTTGCATTATTTTGCCTGAGTTTCCCTAATTCCACTTGTCGAGGCATTTCCCTAGCTTCTTACCATCAGCCCCAGCACTGTGCCCAGCAGTGACGAGGTGGAAACAACCCGCATGTCCATCAGCAGATGATCGGGTAAAGAAAACGTGGTGCGTTCCTACATCGGATATCACAGGGTGAGGCAAAGGCGGGTTTGCAGTGGTGAGTACACGAAACACAGAGTTTATTCTTATATCGCTAGTTATTAATTATCGTATTCTTTTCCATACAAACCACTGTAAACCTATTCTTTCCCCACCCGATATTCAGCCATAAACAAGAGTGATGTACTGAAGGGGCAGGCGTGACTCGCCGACGATCCCTCATCCAGCCTCTAAGTGGCCGCCCACCCAGGTTCCGGCCCAGAGTCAGGTCCCCAGGTGCTCCCAGTGAGCACCGTCCCGGCCACACAGGAAGGGGTCCCGCTGTGGGGGTCACCAGTCTAACATGCAGGCGGCCCAGGCCCCACGTGCAGCTGCACGCGCCACGCCGATGCTGTTATAAATACACCAGCCCGGCTCCCCAGGGGTCGGCTCCAGGAAGCGGATTCACGAGAGTACGTTTATACTTGGTTAGAGCTGAGGGTGCCTGCGCCTCACTTCCGTCCACACCCCTCCTACTCTCTGGACACTGCAGATACATGTGGGGTCCTGTTTTGTCCCTGCTGGCCAGGATCCGGCTGGGCTGAGGCTCCCCACAAAACCTCAGGGGCCCCACGGGCACACAGAGGGGCCTTTTCCCTTGGGGGCCTGGGCGGTAGTCTTCATTGCTGCCCAGGCCACAGGGCACCCTGGGGAGACGCTCAGCACCAGAGAGAGACAGGCCTCCACTGTATCCTGCTTCTAAGACATCAGCACCTCTATCCACCTCTGAACAGTCTCGTCCCAGCCCTCACCCGGCAGATGGTCCCAGCACCAGCCCAAGTCCAGCAGCCAGGGGGACAGGGTCTTCTTCCTGAGGCCACGGGAAGTGACCGGCTGCCCTGGGAGGGACCACAGCGGCTGGGCCAGGGCGTGGAGGTCGCTGACAGAGGCAGGGCACTGTTACAGATTGAATTGTGTTCCCCCAAAATTCGTACGTTGGGGTCCTAATCTCCAGTACCTGTGCACGTGGCCTTCTATAGAAATAGGGTCTTATTTATTTATTTGAATCCTCACCCAAGGATATTTTCCCATTG